TAATATCATACAACCTACGTCAGACATTTACATAAAACGCATTTGTAAACAGTATGTACTGTAACGTTCAAGAACAGTTCCATCGGGAACGGGCCATATTAGAGGAATAGTTTTTTTAACGGTGTCGACAAAGGCATCATCATTAAAATAAAGATATTAATCGAGGGTGAAGCATTATTTATCAAATAAACTGTTTTTATTTTAAGATACAACTGATACAGTCAATAAAGAGATATGGCGGGTTGCTATGCTTATTTCCCCAAAGCTTTGTTACGCTAGTGCGCGCATCCAACCGTCACTGTTATGACGCGTCCTCAGGTATTTTTATACAGGTAGCAATATCGGAATCCCGTGTCTAAGAATAGATTATTGTAAACAGACCACATATTTGGTATTTCGGCATTATTTGTTGGTGTTTAAGCAATTGATATAATTACTATTGCCAGTTGAAGGGTAAAACAATTCATAAATTTCATCAAAAATAGTGTCTTACCTGCAAAGCGTAGCTGTAGTGTACACGTGTACAGGGATTTGTTGACATGCTTCGATAGAAGTATGTCGCACTTAATAGTAAAGAAATTATTACTAACAAAACTGATAAATCAATAGGTTTGTTATTTAAATGTAAACAAAATCTTCCATCGATTTAAAAAAAACACCATTGCCTTATAAAGGAAATTGATCACATGCCTAAATATTTATTTTTTAAACTGAAGGAGGATTCGAACCTGCACCGTTTATTTTCTAGTCGCAAGTAAACTGCGTTACACATTCGGCTACATAGAACATATAGATATTGGCAATTACAAACTTATTTAACCCGAGAAACACCGGTCGCAGTTTAGAGAAACTTGATCACCCCTGTTTTTCATTATTTTGAGCACTTTCCCAAAGGAGGACCACTTTTCCGTAACAGGATTTGTTTTTGCATATTACATCACGTTCACAAAAAGATTATTCAAAAGTTGGTCCTCGGATGGAAAAGTGTTGATAGTATTTTTTTAACTCCGGGAAACCCCATCACTTTCATAGATATAGTGTATATGGCTATATTTGCAGTATCATATTAGCAATACCTAATTTCTCAGCAGTTTAAAAATTCATATTCAATTGGTTTTGTATCTTTTGTATGCATTTTTGCTACACGAAATGTTTTACTCCTTAATTTTTTTCCCCGTTTTCATAAATCCCGACTTAGGGAAATACGGGCAGTTTTCCGCCATACCTCTTTAAACAAGACGTCATAATACATATCTCACATGTAATATGGTCGATCAGAGAAAAATCTGTAAAGGTTTGTAATAGCGTAACAGAACCAGTGAACGTGTAAGCTAGCTCCTCCAGACGTCGCTGTACTCTCTGATAAACTGAGGGTAAATCAATCACGGTAATTTGTACGCCAGGGTGCCGACCTTTCCCTATCTTTATGTTAAATAGAAACCAATCTTTTTCATAGCCTTTCAAGCCCTGATAACATTGCTTTAACATTTTATGGTGTCTATAACTCGTGTTCTCGAGTGATTCGTCGTAACAGTTATAGATAAGGTAGGGTGTAACACTGGACGGACTGGGGAACTACTGCACGTCACTTCTCAGCCATTGTCTTACATTGGTACACGGACTCATCCCAGAGTACGTACACCCCCCCNCTAGCCCAGCCCGTCAATCTGTACGAGACGGAGGGTTTAGTCTGGCGTGTTTCTCGCTATTAGTCCCGTCAGGAGCTCAGCTACGTTAACGATGTTAATATCGTTCTCACCATCTTTTGACAAATTTCTTCTGGCAATGAAGGTAACTTATGTGTAATCTTCTTCCCAAGATTGGTCGCCTCCCAACACTGTGTCCGTCTGACTGCTACCGTTGGTGGATAGCCGCGTACAAATTGACTTATCAACAGCTAAATATTTTACCGGATTCTACTAATTTCTTAAACAGTGAAAAATTACTCTGATGTTCTGGCTGTGAAACGCTTAAGGTGTGACTCATAAGAGTTATAGAACCACGTGGTGTGTTACATGTGTATGGTACCAAGTAGATTTTACATGTGTTAGGTACCGCGTGGTGTTTTACAAGTGTATGGTATCACGTGGTGTTTTACATGTGTTTGGTACCACGAGGTGTTTTACAGGTGTTTGGTACTACGTGGTGTTTTACAGGTGTATTGTACCACGTGGTGTTTTTAGGTGCTTTTTTAAAACATGGTGTTTCACAGATGTTGGGTATCAAGTGGTGTTTTATAGGAGTATGGTACCACGTGGTGTTTTACATGGGTATGGTACCACGTGGTGTTTTACAGATGTTTTGTACCACGTGGTGTTTTACAGGTGTATGGTAACACGTGGTGTTTTACTGCTGTATGGTACCACGTGGTGTTTTACAGGTGTATGGTACCACGTGGTGTTTTACAGGTGTTTGGTACCACGTGGGTATTTTACAGGGTATGGTACCACGTGGTGTTTTACAGGTGTATGGTACCACGTGGTGTTTTACAGGGGTATGGTACCACGTGGGTGTTTTACAGGGGTATGGTTCCACGTGGTGTTTACAGGGGTATGGTACCACGTGGTGTGTTACAGGTGTATGGTAACACGTGGTGTTTAACAGGTGTTCGGTACCACGTGGTGTTTTATAGGTGTATGGTACCACGTGGTGTTTTACAGGTTTATGGTACAATTTACCACGTTGTGTTTTACAGGGGTATGGTACCACGTGGTGTTTTACAGGTGTTTTGTACTACGTGTGTGTTTTACAGGTGTTTGGTACTACGTGGTGTTTTACAGGTGTTTGGTACCACATTGTGTTTTACACGTGTTTGGTACCACGTGGTGCTTTACAGATGTTTGGTACCACGTGGTGTTTTACATATGTTTGGTACCACGTGGTGATCTACAGGTGTATGGTACCACGTGGGTGTTTTACAGGTGTATGGTACCACGTGGTATTTTACAGGTGTTTGGTAAAACATGGTGTTTTACAGGGGTATGGTACCACGTGGTGTTTTACAGGTGTTTGTTAAAACATGGTGTTTTACAGGTTTATGGTACAATTTACCACGTTGTGTTTCACAGGGCTATGGTACCACGTGGTGTTTTACAGGTGTTTGGTACCACGTGTGTGTTTTACAGGGGTATGGTACCACGTGGTGTTTTAAAGGGGTATGGTACCACATTGTGTTTTACACGTGTTTGGTACCACGTGGTGATTTACAGATCTTTGGTACCACGTGGTGTTTTACATATGTTTTGTACCACGTGGTGTTCTACAGGTGTATGGTACCACGTGGGTGTTTTACAGGTGTATGGTACCACGTGGTGTTTTACAGGTGTTTGGTAAAACATGGTGTTTTACAGGGGTATGGTACCACGTGGTGTTTTACATGGGTATGGTGTTGCGCCTCAGTATATCTGGTTATCTTTAACTAACGTTATATCTGGTGTGTGTTGAGCCTCGGTATATCTAGTTGTATTTAACTAACGTTATATCTGATGTTTGTTGCGCCTCGGTATATCTGGTTATCTTTAACTAACGTTATATCTGGTGTGTTGAGCCTCGGTATACATGGGCTATCTTTGATTGATGGTTAACATTATTATCATATTTGACAAACTTTTGTCAAGGGAAAACGTTTATTAGACTGCTGATATTAGCAGATGTCACTCGTGAAAGACCAGACTTCAATAATAGATATATACTCATGGGTACCGGAAACAGTCATACTCCTCTCACATGTGCGAAAGTTGGAATTAATCGAATAATTTCTAATCTAAACATCAGCATTTATGAATGAGAAACGTACTCAGTTGCTACATATATAATCAGTCTCCGGTCAATAAAACAGGAATCCCATGCATTAGTGATGAGGCGGTCATTCCGTCCAGCCGTGTAGTGCTTTGTAGAGTATAATTACATTGGTAAATACTTAATTCTCGGAAATGTAGCGTGAACGATGACCGGGGAACACATTTAACGCGGGTGTGAAAAGGTCAGTCGACCACGTCCCAAAAAGGTCACGGGGTCATGTCCTTGACGATCACTTGTATCTTCACATACTGATGAAGTGCTTCTGTCATGCTCCATTCCCTGTGTTATGTTTTAAATATGTGTAGGGCTATAACTAAGGCGTACCATAATTGTTTCGGACGTATCGTAGCTCAGTCAAAGACTACAGTTTCATACAAGTATTCGGACCAGGACTTTTAAGTGGTCAACCCAATGTTTGCGGCGTTTTGGCTCAGCATTAGCCGAGGTGTGAGGAAGTACATTATTGGCATTGACGTCCAAAATGTAATGTCTGTATAGGTATCTTGGAATGAGGCAACGACTTATTTAGGTTCTGGCACCAGAAGTGTTTCGTAAGTGTGTTCGATGGTAGACCGGTACTACTGTACAATTGTAGATAGTACATCGTCAGTGTGTGTTTTGTTCCAGTAACAGTCCGTGTGTCCGTGTTTGATTACCGAGGCGAGCGGGATACACATTAACGTACAGTTGGTGAACAGAAACTTACGATGTTCTTGTATCACCATATGTCATTACCGAAGGCGTTTTGGTCAGGGATCATAAAGTTGGTCTGGTTAATCGATACAGTCCACCTTTCACGTGCATCTCTCACAAAACATCAAAGGAATCAGTGTATTGTATTGCTTCGGTCACGAACGGTCACGCGCTGGGAGCACGGTCAGTGTCGTAAATTGCTCCTGGTCAGGTATCGCTTTTGTACTGATTGGGTTTTTTATCGTAATTAATAACATCGGTGATGAATTTGAGTGAGTCATTTCTATCTAATGGATATCTGACTATAAATAAATATTTAGATTTGTTTGCTAAACCGAGGCAACCTCGATCACTATCTCGCGTGCCCGAGCACGTGAACACGGCGGCACGTGGTAGAGCCCGGATAATCTACCCGGAATAAGTAGGACGTTTCATAATACAGATGATGCTAATACGTTTTGTATGCCCTCGAATTTATTCTATACAAACTTTGTTTAAATTTACAGATCAATAGTGAACAGGAACTGACCGCACCTGATGATGAGGCTGGACGGTGTGACGTTTGAGGCGGTGTTCGTCACGTGCTGTGCTATACTGTCAGGTAAGGACATCACACGTAGCCTTCACTGCTCGTGAACTTGATCTGATTTGAATATCAAGTGATGTTTCAGATGTAATAGAATAGTTATTTTATATAAACATTACCTTGGCAACGCAGTTATTAGCTGTCGGTGTGTTGTTAAAGATGATTACAAAACGTGTTATTGACTAGGTAGACAATCAAAACATGCCATGGATTCCTCGTTCTGTGGTGAGATATGTTTCCTGGCGTACACCTGTATTGTGTTGACTTCTCCCATTACGTCAGACTGTGATGTACATGTATTGGGCGTGTAAACATAAACACATCATATGGTGGTAATAATCCTTGCTCATCACATAGAGGAAGATATTCATATTGAAAGGTAGAAGAGGAGAGATGTGTATTTTTACTGGAATTAAAACACACCCCTTTACCGCGCGGTAGCCTCTCGGGGTCTGACGCTAGAAAATCTTGGATCTAACACTGAACTATCTCGGGGTCTGACATATTTGTTTTCCCACGTGTAAGGGGAGATCCTCGTTACCGAGCAGGTATTTAGTGAGATTACTAAATGTACAAACATTCACCTGACGGCCGTATGGGAAGGGGACCGCATCCAAAAAAGAACATATAACACACGCACTTCCTTCTATAACCACCTGGGGTAACCCGTTTCTGAACTCTCCACCCTCTGTGACCCTGTATCTAACTCTTGACCCAGAGGAAGCTCCCCACCCATATCCCTGATACTGCGGTAGAGGAAGCCCCCTACTTGTAGGGTTTGGGTGCCTTCCCGCCATCTGCCTATTATCACACATTGCTGATGATAACTAATGATGTTTTCTTGTTGCAGGTTACAAGTGTCAAACCACTGGCGTAAGTATTATCATTGTACAAACCGCAGCAGCACAGGTATACGTTATTTATTACAATACCTTGAGCACTTCCGGTTCGAACATTTGTACTGTTGCTGTGCATGTGTACATGTGGTGTAGACAAGGATGTCCAATAATCGTATTACTTCTCATGAAATCAGGCAATTATTGCATTTTGTTACTGGTGGGCTGACTTCGCCAACACTGTGGCGCCGAGCAATCAATGAACAAATGTTACCCCACACAAATCAAATGCCACCTGGTAGCCCAACAAAACGTCAACCAATTTTTTCCAAACAGAGCAGTCACATGCATAATCATAGCGGGCGTTACATTGGAGTCCACTTTAAAATGTCATGGTGATAATTTCTTCGCAAATATAAAGGTTCGTTCTCAGCGTTCTGTTAACAGGCGTTTTATCGGTATGGGTTTTGTTTTCCTTTTTTTGTTACAGTGTATGATAGATTTTGATGTAACCAGAAAGCTTATTTGTCAAATCTGAGTTGATCTTTATAATTGTCCAGCAAGAGCAGTGTCCTATTCCTGGAACTTCTGAAAGTCAACAAATTTCGATTTCTAGCAGATTGAAGTAGTGTTCATTCTTCCCCATACTGATCTCTGATTATAAAATGGTCCTTTTATCTGTTACTTTATAAAGCCGTTATCGCCCTCTCTCCTCCAATTATATTCGCTCCGACAGAGACACCGTCGCCTCCATCGCTTATTATCTGGAATAAGTCCAAAAATATGAGATCATTTTTATTTTTCAGAAAACATTAAGATTATATGGTGATGTTTGTGATGAATCAGAAGTGTAACAGTTGGTTAGCGTTGATACCGTAGCTCGGACTGGATAGGTTAAAGATAAGCGGTGTATTATCATTTTTGAAGTGTACAGCCTCGGGAGATCAATCTCGTGTGTAATAGATAGGGAGTTTGTATTCTGTCTTCGGCGTTCTCATTGAAGTGAAAACAGCCGAAATTGTATCAAACCAAAATTATTAATCTGATAATGGATAAGACATGGCTACAATTTAGATTTGGGTTATTGTTGTTGCTGTTTTTCTACAAAACATTGTTACACAGTAGTTTTGCGATGGTATTGTATAAAAAAAAATAATGCTATAATGTTATAATTACAATTGTTGTTCTAGAAATCGCTACAATGTAGCGTTATGTTGTTGTACTGTTCTAGATATTGCTACAATGTAGCGTTATGTTGTTGTACTGTTCTAGATATTGCTACAATGTAGCGTTATGTTGTTGTACTGTTCTAGATATTGCTACAATGTAGCGTTATGTTGTTGTACTGTTCTAGATATTGCTACAATGAAGCGTTATGTTGTTGTACTGTTCTAGATATTGCTACAATG